GTACAAATGCGCTTTACACAATTGATGTGTGTATGGATTGCGATAACAGTTGTATGAGCCCCTAATAAAATGTTTAATAAAAAAAAAAAAGAAAACAAAATGATAAAGAGTAAAATATTTGAGTATAAAAGTAAAAAAATATATATTATCAGTCCCCCAAGGCATTCTATACCAGGAATTCCAAAACATTCACAGGGGAGTGAAAAACAGGATCACAAGTCTGTTTTGCTATAAGTTAAGATCACTCAATAACATAATGATAAATATAAAGCTCCATATGGTCTATTATGCATATAAACTTCCAGGCAGCATTATAGTCTATGTGATGGTACTCTCAGCACAAAACTTCAAGTTTGGGAGTTCAAACCTACCAGCCACTGTGCAGAAGTGGAGGCGGTCTGTCTCAGAAACATCTAAAGGGTTGTGATGAGTTGAACTTGCCTCAATTGCAGTAGGTTTGGGTTTGTTCCCCAATCCCTTTCTCCCCACTAAACTGAAGATAAAGGTTAGACTATCAATGTCTATTAGTTCTTTCTAGGATTCTAAATTACCTTACCATCAAAGGAAAAACATACAAAATATTCCATAGATGTAAGCACTCAGTCTCCATAATATCAAAACATTCAGTCAGTAAAGAAGTACTTTCAAAGGTCAAGGTTTGGCCCACGCTTTACTTTTTCTTTTTTTTAAAAAAAGTCATTTTATTGGGGGCTCTTACAGCTTTTATAGCATTTCATTCCTCAATGGTATCGAGCATATTTGTACATACGTTGCCATCATAATTTCCAAAACATTTCCTACTTGAGCCCTTGGTATAAGCTCGCCCCCCCCACCCCCCCGCCCCAATCTCACCCTCATGAATCCTTGATCAATTATATACTGTTATTATTATTTCGTATCTTACACTGTCCATAGTCTCCCTTCACTCACATTTCTATTATTCATCCTCTTTGGGAGGGGGATTATATATCCAACCTTGTGGCCCGACACACATTTTATTCTTTCCCACATTTTAATTAACTATACACAAAATGAAAAGTAAAGTAAAAAGATGTGTTGTATTTTCCACAAGTGTTTTCATTTCCCATCCATAAATACTAAATATAAACACAATGCTTTCCTTAATTGAAAGAGTTCAATGTTTGGTTATCACTAACCTGAAAGAATGTCCGAGCCTCTTTATACCTGCACTCAATAAACCTAGAGTGTGGTATTTCTTCTAGAAAATGCATGGGATCTTTTGGAATGTGAACTTCTAGTCCATCAATGATAACCTGATGTAAGACTGGCCTGAAAACAAAAGTTAAGATTGTAAGTATTTAGCATAGAATATTTAGCAGCTTCTTTAAAATGTTGGACACTGGCAAAACTGCGGAACACCAGGCATATTTTCTTCAATCATTGCAGATGTCAATTAGCAACTTTAATAATACCTTGGTAATTACATATTCAACAGTAATGAGTTTTAAGTATTTTGATTAACAAATCTTGAAATATTTTTAACTTATATATATGCACCTTGATGTTTTTGGCAGAAACGAAAGCTAAATGGCAAAATTAAATACTACTGATCTACTTTTAAAGAAGTACGTAAATGCTCTCAACACTTAAGACACATGCAAATTACGATAGCCTGAAAAAAATCTCAACAATGGACAAAATGCTAACCTGAGAATCAGTCATGTATTTTAATTCCATATTCTATAAATATACATTGAGTTTCCCATTCCTCTCTGTTTAAAATTGGGTAGTACAGAGACGTTATCTGTTTCCTAGGGAAGCTTACAACTTATGCTTAATAAATATTTATTGACAGATAATTTTTGAATTATTCACAAGGTAGAGAAAACAAAATTCCTCACAATTACAATAGGTAACATCATGGTAAGTGGAGAAAAGATTAAAATCCTCAAGGATTTCATCTTGCTTGGATCCATAATCAATGCTCACAGAAGTAGAAGTCAAGAGCTCAAACCAAGCATTGCATTGGGTAAATCTGCTGCACAGGACCTCTTTAAAGTGTTGAGAAGAAATAATGCTACTCTGAGAACTAAGGTGTGCCAAAGCCAAGCCATGGTATTTTCATTTGCCTTATAGCATATGAAATTTGGACACTGAACAAGGAAGGCTGTAGAAGAATTGATGTATCTGAATTATGGTGCTGGAGAGGAATAATTCAGAGTACCATTGACTTCCAAAAGAAGTAAAATATGTATCGGGAGAAGCACAGCAAGAATGCTCCTTAGAAGTGAGGCCAGAGACACTTTACTTCATGTACTTGGGACATGTTATCAGAAGAGACCAGTCCCTGGAGAAAGGACATCTTGCCTGATAAAATGGAGGGACAGCCACATGGAAGAAGCACACCAGCCTATGTGATCATGAGGTGTCGAAGGGATCAGGTATCAGGCATCAAAGAACAAAAAATCATATCATTGTGAATGAGGGGGAGTGTAGATTGGGGACCCAAAGCCCATCTGTAAGCAACTGGGCATCTCCTTACAGAAGGGTCTCGGGGAGGAGACAAGCCAGTCAGGGTGCAGTGTAGCAACGATGAAACATACAACTTTCATCTAGTTCTTAAATGCTTCCCCCCCCCACACCCAATATCATGATCCCAATTCTACCTTACAAATCCGGCTAGACCAGAGGATGTACACTGGTACAGATAGGAACTGGAAACACAGGGAATCCAGGACGGATGATCCCTTCAGGACCAGTGGTGAGAGTGGCGATACCAGGAGGGTAGAGGGAGGGTGGGGTGGAAAGGGGGAACCGATTACAAGGATCTAATATAACCTCCTCCCTGGGGGACAGAAGACAGAAAAGTGGGTGAAGGGATACCTCGGACAGTATAAGATATGACAATAATAATTTATAAATTATCAAGGGTTCATGAGGGAGGGGCAACTGGGGAGGGAGGGTGCAAAATGAGGGACTGATGCCAAGGGCTCAAGTAGAAAGCAAATGTTTTGAGAATGATGATGGCAACAAATGTACAAATGTGCACGACACAATGGATATATGTATGGATTGTGATGCAATGGATGTATGTATGGATTGTGGTAAGAGTTGTACGAGCCCCCAATAAAATGATTTAAAAAAGTGAAATGGATGAAGGAATTTCATAACTCATGTAATAAAAAGTCAAGTAAATAATAATAATAAAGGGTCAAACATGACAAGTGTGAGGATGGCGCGGGACCAAGCAGCATCTTGTTCTGTCATGCACATGGTCATATGAGTCGGAAATGACTCGATGGCAGCTAATGCCAATAGAATTATTAACTAAACTTTAAAATAAATTTTCAAAACTTAAAAAGAAATTTAAAGATAATTTCTTACAGATTTAACTGGCATATACACAGTGGCTATCATGATTTTGACTAAAATAATTAGAAAAACCATACATTCACTGCCATTGAGTCGCTGCTGACTCAGAGAGAGCCTGTAGGACAGGGTGGAACTGCCCCTATGAGTTTCTGAGACTACAACTCTTTCCGGTCTTAGTGAGCTCTGTCTTTCTTCCTCAGAGCAGCTGGTGTTCTGAACTGCTGACCTTGTGGATTGCAGACCAACTGGTAACCACTACATCACTAGGGCTCCTTACAATTAGTAAAGAGTCACAATTAATAATAAAGTATTCCTTTACTCCCTCTCCTTTTTCAGCCATGTTATTTCTAATATCTAGCTTGGATCAGACATCCATAAAAAATGTAGATAACCCTCGTTTTGAAAATCTTTTTTGAACATCTATCAATTAAGGAGAAGATATGAATAATAGTCTTACATGACTCCATGGAAGTTGCCTACAACAAATCTTCAATATGAAAATTCTTACAAGTATGGTAAACTTTAACATCAAAGGGAAATGTTTACTGCCATCTTCACATCAAGTGCTGGCATAAAAATATCATATCACATTCCCATTTCCATTAAGTTAGTTCCACCTCATAGTGATTCTACAGAGAGTTTCTGGGGGCAGTAGTCTCAGCCTTCTCCTGCAGTGGCTGGGTGGTTGGATCACTGATCTTGCTGTTATCAGTCCAAGGCTCACCCAACAGCGCCACCACGAATGACGTCCAGAAGGAACAGGAAGCACAGCTCCAGTTATAAACAGCACACACAAGATCTAACTTCACGAGTGTCTCTTTCTTTTCTGGTAAATGATTAAAGCCTTTAGAACTGTGCTCTTAAAAAAAAATCCACGTGCAACCTGATGGTGAATATCTACTTTAAAGCAATGACAGGAGAGGGGAGAAGCAGGGAAACTAGATGAGTGGAAATGGACTACTAGAACAGAAATAATGAGATGACAAGTTGTGACGCATCTACCCAGTTCCATGGAATAAGTTGTATAGAAATTGTTAAACGAGAACCTAATTTTTGCTGTGTAAGCTTTCTGCAAAAAACACAGGAAAATATTGTTAAAAATATCTATTCTTCATCATGTAATGGTTAATGTAATAAACTATAGCTAATCAAATTTTACATGAGATAATAACTGTTCCTTCTGAGTAATTTTATTGAGAGAGAGCTACATACACAAGAGTGCTTCAAAAAGCTCATGGTAAAATTTGATTACCTTTTAATTTTGTTTATCCATGAACTTTATGAAGCCCCCTCATACATGTTTGTGAATCCTTTATTTGTATATATAGAAATATGTATTACTTGGTACATTTATGCACAGAACAAAAGCACAGAATAATAAATTTTAGAGTGAACATTTATGTATCAGTCAAATACTAAATACCTCTCTCAAATTGCCTGTCTTACATAATTACACTCTTTTTTACCCTAGAGACACCATTCCTGTCTTTTCTGGCAGCACTTTCCAACTTTTTTTTTTTTAACCAACAGATAAATCAATTTATTAAAATATTGATTTAAGCATCTGCAATGGTGACTTCCACCTCTACTCCAGGTTCAATACTTATGGAAGTGATCTGCTTAACTATCTCAGAAGGACTGTGCAAATCAATGAGACGCTTGTGGATTCTCATCTGGAATCGATCCCAGGTCTTTGAACCTTCACCACAGGGCGTTTTCCTGCTGGTAATTCTCAGAGTCTTGGTAGGCATCCTAACTGGTCCCTTCACTTTCAGGTTCTTCTCCTTAGCCCCTCTGATCAAGTCAGCACACACTTTCTCCAAGGATTTCACGTTGCGGCTGGTCAGAGTAATTCTAATCCGGTGAATGGCCACCTCTGGCTCCACAGGTGTCTTTCAGTGTTCTTAAATGCCATGGCAGGTGGCGCTTCCTCGACAAGAGCGACAAGAGCGAACAGCAGTGAGTCAGGAACGGGAGCAGGGGGACAGAGCGCGGTGGGACGGCGGCCGCGTCTTCCTCCTCCGACTTTTCCTAATACTTTTACCATTTCAGTATACTGCCAGAAACAGAATTTAGCTTGTGTTTGAAATTCATATGAATGCCATCATCTTTTGCACTTTGCTTCTGCCACTGAACACTGTAGGATTAATATACGTTATAAAGAACTCTAGTTTATTCATTTCACTGCATATAATATTCCTTTGTATGAAAAACAGATAAACATGTTTATCTTTTGACTTGTAGAAGGATATTTGCTTTGCATCAGTTTGAGGATTAAAAACAATGTTGCTTTGAGCATGTGTACTTCCTATGACATACGCTTATGAGTTTGTGTTGAGTATTTCATTCTAAAACTGGTTCGTGTGACTCATTTTAGAGTTCATTAGTAAATATGAAAAAGGAAGATAAACTCAGGACCGAACAACAGAAGTTTCATATTTCCCCTGTTGATTCTGTACTTGCTTACCTGTCAAAAGCTCCGGGATAACGACCAAAGTGTAATTTTCGAAAAGGAACAAATTTCCTGTCACTGTGTCCTTTGAGGCGTAGATGGCCATGCCAGAGGTAGTGGCCACTCCTTTCATGAAAGACCACCAAGTGGATGGCATGGGTAGTCAGCTTGCAGATATAGTGCAGGGGGATCTCAGTCCCAGAAAGTGAGTCGATCCCATCTAATCGGGGGTCTTTGCTCTGAATCTTGAGGCACTGAAACCCCATATTCTCAGCTATCCGAAACCAGTCTTCCTAGGATCAAAGAATCATCAAGCTTAAATACCGAAAGCCAAATACTAGTAGCAAAACTAAAGTGATCCTTACAATGAATTTAGCCATCACATTTCTGTGTTAATCTGCTCTTTGCCTGAAGCTTTAAAAAAATAAGGATGGGAAGGGAAGGTGGTAGGGGGAGAAAAAGGGCAGTAAAGAGAAACTGTGTAGCATGGAACACATGTCCAAAGATATCCTTTATGTAAATGAATGCAAATGTCTTCCATAGAATGAGAATGTTCACCTTAGAGTTCTCTTACCTTAAATACTAATATAAGACGAACACTTGATATTAAATTTGTAATTTTCAATGTAACCTCTAAAACCTTTACTTAAAATTCATATCCCAACACCATAAAAATCTACATTAATAAAACTATCAAATTGTAACCCACTAGAAAACAGAGTGAGACACACTGTAGACAGCATTTATAGTATAAAGCTCATATAACAAAATCAGCCCATAGTACACATTTTTAGTCCTAATCTCAACAACCAGTATTATAAATGGTTAAGCAGCATTAATTATTAACAATGCCTATATTTTAATATGAACTTATAATGTACATGGAACCATTATATACACTAGCTTATGACATCTACCCTATAAAGTAGGTAGCACAGGTATTATGGATAAGGAAACAGTCACAGAAATTAGGGTTCTTGTCTAAAGAAATAAGCCTAACAAGATGCAAAGCCACTTCCCAGTAATCAAAGAAATACAAATGAAATTAACAATGCCAATTCAAACCCATCAGGCTGGTAGCAGTTTTAGTGCCTCTTATTTCTTTAAAAGAGTATGAAGAAGCATAGTAAAATATTATAAATTGTCCTCTACTTTCCTGTGATTTTTGAAAAGTTGAGAATGAACCAAGAAAATAAAAAGGAGAAAATGGTAAAAGAAAATCTGGCAGCAATGAACATCATTTGCTTACAGATTAAAAGAGCTCATCAAGTATTTAGCATAATGAATGAAAAAAAGGATTGGACACAGACACATCAGTATGAAATTTCAAAATACCACGAGCGAGAAAGGAAAAATTGCAAAAAGTTTCCAGAAAGAATACATAGGTCACATATAAAAACACCAAAAACAGGCATAACATTTCTCAATAACAAAAAAGGATTCTATAGGACAGTACAGGGGAGGCTTCAGCCCACAGGGCCAAAGAAAAATATTCCTAATCTGGAATTCTACATGCAGCAGATCGAAAAAGAAAAAAAAAAAAGAGCCCAATTTCTCTCTATCCTTTAATCTACAACCACTGCTGTTATGACTTTGTGCTTCTTTTCGTCCAAAAGGCATAATCTAATTTTTATCATTTGTGACTTTTTTTGGTCAAAACCAGCAGCAATATTATGCTAGGTTGAACACTAGACCCCAAGCGCCCTTGTATCGTTTTGCTACCTCGAGGCTCTTTGAATACGTTTGGACTAGCCTGGGTGATGAAAGACACGTGCTCCAGGCACTTCCACTGCTCCACATCCGGAAGCAGAGCTGCCTCCATGACAGACTGATGCATGGCGGTGTTTAGCTGAGGCCAAAAGAATCACGCAGCTAAACCCTGTAAATCCTACCCAAACTGTTCCCTCACAGAATCATGTACTAAATAAATGTCACTAAGTTTTGGAGTAATTTACTACTAGCAGACATGAACTGATACAGAAACCAAACCAAAAATCAAATGTAAAGGTGAAAGAGAAACATTTTCAGATATGGACAGTTTCAGCCTCCTGCACAGAGTTTTGTACATGAAACATGTCATTGACTGCAACTCGTACAATGAATTATCATTTATCCGACTTCTCGTGTCATTCCTCCTAACCTTTCTGAAGTTTGTCCTTGGGTAAACGCTGCTCTTTTGGTGTCATATGATAGATTATTCTAAGTTGTGTGCACATCAATAGTATATTGTTCTTCTTATAAGATTATCTATTGTCTGGTTGAAAATTGAACCATGGAGGTAAGTTCTTTTCCAAACCTAAAAGATGATTAAGAACCATAATCTGTCTCAGAGGTTCAACACCAGTCTCTATCCAACCATTATGTCAGGTCTTTTTTTCTTTTTCTTCTTAATAATTTTTAGGGTTTGATTTTTAACGTTAGGGATTTCTAATATAGGAAAGATGCCAAGTATTGGGAAGGAGAACTACAGAATCATATCTGCACAGAAGACCAATCTTCCGAAAGACCAAGAGGGATGTTGCCAAGGGAAAAAGATGGAATGGTACAATTAGCTGTGTTAATTCTTATGGAGTTTTATATTCCTGTTGAATTACTGATACACAGAAAACTAGTATGGAAAAACGGATTGTACAATAAGAACCAAGGTAAACTAGATAGCTTACATACGCCTAACACTATAAACATTAATATGTAGCTAGGAAATAGCAATTTTAGGATGAAGTGAGAAATGTACATGTGTATATGTGTGAGACAGTGGAAATAAGAGCTTAATACCACAATAATTAAAATAGACACCAAAAATAGCAGCATAAATATTTTGGTCATAAATGAAAAGACCAACAAGGTAGAAAGTACTGATGAACCAGTTGGCTCAAGGTGTTGGAAGATGTGTGGTGAGGAGGGTGAACCCTGCTGTTTTTCAGCACTGAGCTTCATTCACATTAATACCTGACTTTTTATAGTGAGAAATTGTCTTATAATATCATGTTCTAACTTTTCTTTGACTTAAAAAAGTTTAAATATAAAATTGAGTAAAGAAAAAAATTAAGCAAACACCACATACATAATCTATTTTATCTAGAGTTTGCAAATGATTCATTTCAATTTGACCCCGATGAGAATTTAAATTTCCACCCCAAATATAATGATCAGAACCTACATTTTAAATGATATTCTTAGACAGTTTTTATGCATAAGTTTTAAACGTTGTCTTCAAATGGATAAGGGATGTCTACAAATCACATGGGGATAGTATTAAAATACAGCTTTGGAATCAGTGTATTTGGGGATAAAAAGGCAAATTCTCAGGAAGGGATAAAACCAGAATAGGCCAGTTGGAAGCTGTGGTCTTATCATCTGAATTGCAGATGGGAAGGAACCACAGGTCAGAAAAAAGCCAAGTTCAATCTCTTCAGGCCTTAAATTGACGTAAGCGTGGTGCAATCAAAGTACCCTTCAGTTTATACAGCTAATATAAACAGCCTCCTTTCAACCTCTTGTTAGAGGGAAAAATAAATTCTATTTGCTAAAGCTACTTTTAATTGTGTTCTATAACTTATTACTAGAGCAGTGGGGTTGGGGGTAGGCTTTAATGCTCCTAATTCACAGAAATTGTAAAATGCTTGAAGAAAATACTTAGATGTTTTATATTTTAAACTGCTAACTCCACCCTATTTTGTAAAGATCCACATTTCATTATCTAAAAGCACATCATCTTACCTCATTCTTCCAAAGGTGACTCTGTAGTGCAAATGCAGTAAAGTCCCTTGGGACACAGAAAAACTTGCAATCTGAAGTGGTGCCATAGGAAGTATTTTTGACATGTTCAAAGTTTTTATTAATCAAATCCAGAATCAAAGGATCAATGAGGAACACTGGAACATTCTGGCTAGATGTTAGCATAATAAATTTTTTAACTGCACGCTGTTTGAGAAGAAAAGAATCCCTTTATTCTACTAAACAATACAACAGCCTAATTTATCAATTTTTCATAACTGAAAGTGCATTAACTCAATAGTTCCCATGCTTACCTAAAAGAAACAAATTTTAATAAATAAAACCACGTCCCTGCTCTCAAGAAATATATCTTCTACTAAGATGATGAAAATATTTTGACACAAGATGAAATATGCTAAAATTAAAATACACACAGCGCACCAGTCTACAACATTGAACTAATTGTACATAGAAAGGAAACTCTTCAGAGGAAGTGGCATCTGACACGAGAACTCTGGCCTTAAAAATCTTTTTTTTGGTATTAGCTAAATCTTCTCAAACAAAAGAGAGAGGAAATACTAGGTCAGTTTTTAAAAATCTGTTATATTGGCCCCCTTTAAACCAGCAATCAATTTTGAGTGCCATTTCTCTTTGTATTTTACTCTACAAAACTCAAAACACTCGCAATGTTTTAAATAAATTCTATTAGGTAGTAAAACAAGGGTCCTCTAAATAACATCTGGGGTCTTAAAGACCTGTCTTTAAACAAGCAGCCATCTAAGTGAGGCATCAACAAAGTTATGGAAAAAGCAGAACAGCCTGGGTGATCTTCATGATCATAAATAATAAAACCACAATCAGGAGGGAGTGGTATTAGAGCTTAAGTTGTTAACACTTGATGTGCAGAAGGCTATGGATGACAGTGGAAGCCCAGGGTCCACACATAAATTAAGCCTTCAGTGAATCCCCTGTTCCTAGTAAAGGGATGTGAACAGCCCCGGTACCAAACAGAGAGCATTATAAAGGGTATAATAGTAGAAGTAGTTAGGTTAAAATGTATTACCTTGGTATTTGATCTCCTTTTTGACCCATTCTGAAATTGTTCCGGTTTAAAAAAAAAAAAGGTAAAGCAGAACTATACATGGATTATGACCTTGGTGAATCCCATCTGATTGTAGACTAGGGATGTGAATAGCCTTACCATTACACAGAAGGCAGTGGAAAGTGGATTATTGCAGATGCAGTAAGGTTAAAATTTGGCACCTTAGCACTCTGATCTGCCTTTTGGCCCATTTTAAATTTGTTTTGGTTCTTAATATTTTCTCCTTTAATTTTAATAAAGGTTTGTCGCTGTTTTACTTTGTTATTGTTGTTAGTTTTTTTAAATGTTTTCGGTATATGAAATTCAGGATAGGTATATCTAAAGACACAATAACTGGATTGATGGTTCCTTGAGGGCATGGCAAAGGGGGTGGGGAGAAATGGAGAGCTAATAGCAATGAGTATAAGAAGGAAATGTTCTAAAATTGATTGTAATGGTAATTGTATAACTCTTCTTAGATGATTGAATGATTGGATGTATGATTTGTGAATTATATGCCAATAAACTTATAAATTAAAAAAGGCACTCCAATAAAAAAGGAGTATCTTCCAATGAATAATCAAATTTCATAATTAAAATACCTAAAATAAACAGAATACCTAGTATGCATCACTGCTTAAAATCTACTTGAAGGAAAGCAATACTGATTTCAGAGATGTGTACTTAGCAAAAAGTGTTTGATAGAATTAAGAATAAATTTTTATTCATAAAATCTGAAGGAATTTATGCAAACAAAATACAAATAAAAAGCAACAACAAGAAAAATTTTAAGGACAGCATAGTAATGCAATCAAACCAGGGGGTGGTCTCTATCACTTGTTTATGATGAGGAATAGCATGCAAATGCTAAGAAAACAGCAATCCCTACCTAAAGGGACCTGTCATCTCTTTGTGAGATGGATAAATTAAAAAAATTGTAAACAATCTTGTGGCAAAAAAATTCAAAAACTTAGATGGAATGAACAAGTACAACTTTTAAAAGCTTCTGGGCGGGGTGTCGAACGGATCACTGAAGACAAATGGGTGCATAGGCAAGTGTGGTGAGGAAAGCTGATGGTGCCCGGCTATCAAAAAGTATAGCGTCTGGGGTCTTAGGGGCTTGAAGGTAATCAAGCGGCCATCAAGCTCAGAAGCAACAAAGCCCACATGGAGGAAGCACACCAGCCTATGCAACCACGAGGTGTCGAAGGGATCAGGTGTAAGGCATCATCAGAACAAAAAATCTTACCATAGTGAATGATGGGGGCAGTGCGGAGTGGAGATCCAAAGCCCATTAGTAGGCCACTGGAGATCCCCTTGCAGAGGGGTCTCGGGGAGGAGATGAGCCAGTCAGGGTGCGATGTAACAATGATGAGAAATACAACCTTCCTCTAGTTCCTAAAGGTTTCCTCCCCGCTCCCACTACCATGACTCGAATTCGATCTTGCAAGACTGGCTAGACCAGAGGAGGTACACTGGTACAGATAGGAACTGAAAATACAGGGAATCCAGGATGGATGAGCCCTATAGGACCAGTGGTGTGAGTGGCAAAACAGGGAGGGTAAAGGGAGAATGGGTAGGAAAGAGGGAACCGATTACATGGAACTGTGTGTGACCTCCTCCCTGGGGGACAGACAACCGAAAAGTGGGTGAAGGGAGAAGTCGGACAGGGCAAGATATGACAAAATACCCATTTATAAACTATCAAGGGCTCATGTGGGAGGGGGGAGCGGGGAGGGAGGGGAAAAATGAGGACCTAATGTCGGGGGTTTAAATGGAGAGAAAATGTTTTGAGAAATGATGTACAAATACGCTTTACACAATTGATGTGTGTATGGATTGGGATAACAGTTGTATGAGCCCCTAATAAAATGTTTAAAAAAAAAAAAAAAGCTTCTGGGAAAATGACATGGGAAATCTGAATTACTCTCTATTAAAGAAATTTAATTTGTTATTAAGAAAACCAAAAAAAAAAAGAAAACCAAAAAACCTTCTGGTTCTCAAAACTCCAAACAAACTTCACACACAATGGTTTCACTGGTGAGTTTTATCAAGAATTTAAGGACTAACCCACCCAGGGGGAGAGTATTGGTTGTGTCCCCACAGAATTGTTTGGTTCTGTCTTGTTTTTCTGTGCATATTATTATCTCTGCAGGTCTATCTAGAAAAGATAGGCTGGATAAACAATGGGACCAATGGTTCCGGAGGGACATGGGAGAGGGGGAGGTGGGGGAAAAGAAGTGGTGTTAACCAATCCAGGGACAAGGGAACAATGAGTGTAAGAGATTACTGAAACAATGTAAGGTATTACTGAAACCCAAATGAAGGTTGAGCATGATAGTGGGACAAGAGCAAAGTACAAGGAAATAGAGGAAAGAACTAGGAGGCAAAGGGCATATATAGAGACTTAAATACAGGCATGTACATATGTAAATTTATTTATATATGATGATGGGGACCCATGTGTATATATTTATAGGATTAGTATTAAGGTAGCAGATGGACATTGGGCCTCCATTCAAGTACTCCCTCAATGTAAGAACACTTTGTTCTAATGAGTCAGTATTCTGAGATGCTCACCTTCCCAACACAATCGCTGAAGACACAGCACGTGAATAAGCAAATGTGGCAAAGAAAGCTGATGGTGCCCAGCTATCAAAAGATATAGTGTCTGGAGTCTTAAAGGCTTGAAGGCAAACAAGCGGTCCTCTAGCTGGGAAGCAACAAAGCCCACATGGAAGAAGCACACCAGCCTGCATTATAACGAGGTGCCGAAGAGATCAGTTATCAGGCATCAAAGAACAAAAAATCATATCATTGTGTGCTCACTTCCCTGATACGATCACTGAAGACAAATGGGTGCATAAGCAAGTGTGGTGAAGAAGGTTGATGGTGCCTGGCTATCAAAAGATACAGCATCTGGAATCTTAAAGGCTTGAAGGTAAACAAGCGGCCATCTAGCCCAGAAGCAACTAAGCCCACATGGAATACGCACACCAGCCTGTGTGATCACAAGATGTTGAAGGGATCAGGTAGCAGACATCAAAGAATAAAAATCATCATTGTGTGTTCACCTTCCCCATACAAACGCTGAAGACAAATGTGTGCATAAGCAAGTATGGTGAAGAAGGTTGATTGTGCCTGACTATTGAGAGATATAGCATCTGGGGTCTTAAAGGCTGAAGGTAAACAAGTGACCATCTAGCCCAGAAGCAACAAAGCCCACTTGGATGAAGCACACCTGCCTGTGTGATCACGAGGTGTCGAAGGGTTCAGGTTATCAAGCACCAAAGAACAAAAAACTGTATCATTGTGAATGAGGGGGTGTGCGGGTGGAGACCCAAGGCCCATCTGTAGGCAACTGGACATCCCTTTGCAGAGGGGTCATGGGGAGGAGTCAAGTCAGTCAGGGTACACTGTAGCATTGATGAAACACACAACTTTCCTCTAGTTCTTAAATGCTTCCTTTACCCCCACTATCATAATCCCAATTCTACCTTACAAACCTGGCTGGACCAGAGGATGTACACTGATGCAGATAGGTTCCTATCTGGAAACACAGGGAATCAAGGACAGATGAACCCCTCAGGACCAGTGGTGAGAGTGGCGATACCGGGAGGGTGGAGGGAAGGTGGGGTAGAAAGGGGGAACCAATTACAAGGATCTATATATAACCTCCTCCCTGGAGGATGGACAACAGAAAAGTGAATGAAGGGAGATGTCAGGCAGTGTAAGGTATGATGAAAATCATAATAATTTATAAATTATCAAGGGCTCATGAGGGAGGGGGGAATGGGGAGGGAGGGAAAAAATGAGCTAATATTAAGGGTTCAAGTGGAAAGCAAATGTTTTGATGAGGGCAACAAATGTACAAATGTGCTTGACACAATCAATGTATACATGGATTGTGATAAGAGTTGTACAAGTCCCAATAAAATGATTTAAATTTTTTAAAAAGAATGAATTAATAAAAAATAGAGAGATGAGAAATCCCAAATATAGGCCCCGAGGTATTAAGAAATTAGAACTTACATATTGTAGTATATAAATACTTTGGAAACCTGGAAGTTTGTACTAAAGTTAACTGTATACATACTCTGTGATGCAGTCATTGTATTTCAGATATGCTGTCAAAAGCATGTATTGTTGATTGTCTGTAACTGTATTATTTGTCTTAACTCAAAACTATAGCTTTGTGATACATTCACACAATAAAATACTATAAGGCAGGGGACAGTAGATATTTTTTATAGAGATCCATATGGCAAATATTTTAGGTTTTGTGGACCATACAGTCTGTTACAACTACTGAACTGTTATTGTAGCATGAAAGCAGCTATAACAATTCATGCATGAATGGACATGGCTATATGCCAATAAAACTGCTTAAACAAACAATAAAAAAAAGAATTTAAGGAATGTACCAACTCTTTCTGCAAATGATAGAAACACTTTTTTTATGAGGCCAATGTAATCCTAATAGCAAGCCCTGACAAACACATAAAGAATTTACAAGCCACAATCTCTCACGAGAAAAGATGCAAGAATATCTAATGAAATATTATAAAAGTACAGCTGTTTTTTAAAAAGTAACCATCATGACATATTTATTTAGGTTAATCTAACATTTGAAAGTCAATCAAATCCAATCAAAATCTTCTACCTCACTAAAGCTATGATAGCTTTAATAAATTTTCTGAGCATGCTGTTTCGTTGCTAATATCAGATGGATCTTTGCTGAAAGCACAGAATATCAGAAAGATATTTCCTTGTATTTTTATTGTCTATGCAAAGACATCTGAATGCATGGATCATAACTACAAATAATATTGAGAAGAATGGAAATTGCAGAACACTTCATTGTGCTCATGTGGAACCTACAAACAGACCCGAGGGAGCTGTTCAAACAGAACATGGGAATACTGCATGGTTTAAAGTCATGAAGCCGTGGTCAAGGTTACCCTTTGACTATACTTATTCAATCTGCATGCTCAGCAATTAATCCAAGAGGCTGAACTTTATGTGGAAGAACATAGAAGAAAGGAATATAACACAGCCTTGCTTGCTGAAAGCCAAGAGGACTTCAACTTCCCAGTAGAGATCAAGGCCTACAGCCTTCAGTATGGAATATAATTCAGTGTAAAGAAAACAAAAATCTTCACAACTGGACCAAGAGACATCATGATAAATGGAGAAAAGACTGAAGTTGTTTAAGATTTCATTTAGCAACAGTCAATAAATCAAATGGTGTATTGCACTGGGCAGGTTCATTGCACAAGATATCTTTATAGTGTGAAAAAGATTTCACTTTGATGACTAAGGTGTAACTGAGCAATGCTATGGTATTTTCAATCAGCTAGTGTGCATGTGAAATCTGGACAAGGAAAAGAAAACCAGGAGAAAAAAAGATGCCTCTGAACTGTGGTGCTGGCATAGAATATCAAAAGTACTATCGCTGCCAGAAGAAGAAACAGATCTGTCTTGGGGGAAGTACAATCAGAATGCTCCTTAGAAGCAAGGATGGCAAAAAACGTTGTCTCACATACTTCGGACATATTGTCAGGAGTGCCCCATCCCTGGTAAGGACATCAAGTTTGGTACGGAGAACAGTCAGTGAAAACTTGTCACAACAGGCTGTACTAACACCATGGCTCAAACAGTGGACCCAAACATAACGGTGATTGGGAAGGCAGCGCAGGGCTGCGGAGGGTTTCGTGCTGTGTGCATGATCACTGATGTCAAGAGGGAAGGAACTCCATGGCACACATCAACAGCAGTAATTAGCAAACTTGAAAAATTCACAGTACTACCAGTATCAAATTGTAGAATGTTAAAGCTTATGATCAAGCATATTCCCAAACTGGCTAAAAGGGAATTTCAAATCTCAACAGAGAATTTCGCCTCTTATATACATGTGTTTCTTATGGGTAGGCAGAGGTAAAGAGGAGCTACAAAGAAGTAGATAAAATTTCATTTTATGTAATCTGCTGGAGTCTTTCTAGCTGTGACTCTAAAGTTCTATCATCGAGGGTACAAATCCCAACTATATATAATGTTTACCTTTCCCTTCAGACTACCCTAAGTCCATAAATCAAGTTAACATTGATTCTTCAAGACAAGGTAAGTAAACGAGCCTGGTAAAAGGTTATCTCAGACTTTAGCTTTTTTTATTTATATATATATATATATATATAAATCATTTTATTGGGGGCTCATACAACTCATCACAATCCATACATCCATCGATTGTGTCAAACACATTTGTACATTTGTTGCCCTCACCATTCTCAAAACATTTGCTTTCTACTTGAGCCCTTGGTATCAGCTCATTTTTCCCCTCCCTCCCCACTCCCTCATGAACCCTTGATAATTTATAAATTATTATTTTTTGTCATATCTTACATCTCTTTTAAAGTGCAGTTCAAATCCAGCTGGTGGTAGCAGTGTCCTAAAATTAGCATTATTTATGGCTGGTTGGTGATTTGAAAGCCCAAGTCTAATCTAAAGTTTTTCATGTCCCTGTTTACAGAGAGGTCAAATATTAAAATGTACTGAAATGTCTTATCATTTTTATAATATGTACTAACAGTGTAAATGCAATTTTTTTTAGTAAGTAAACTTTTTTTCATTTATAAGTTAGTTAGAAAAATGTAAAAAATTTATTTCAAAAAAAAAATTTATTTCATCAATGTTTATGTTCAGGAATTTGTGAAAACTAAACAAGGATATTTGTATATATTCCTAGTTTCCCTCTTCTCATAAAGGAAAAACATTGAGTACATTATTATTCCTGATTTTATTTTCTCGTATTCATAGTTGAATTCAGATTCCTATAATCATTCATCTGAGGAAGTATATAGCTCAGTTAATGAGGGTCATGGGTTAGACAACAAGAATTACTATCTGAAGTCATCTGTTTCTTAGCTAATTAACCTTATTCTCAGTACGGCAAATTACTTTTTAAAAGTCCTGAATGAGATACTGGCATGTAAAACATTTGGCATAGCACCTGCACCTTGCCCTTCCACATCCATAAGGAGGATATTATCATTGGCATCATTCAACAAATAGTTATTAAGTTTATCAATAAAAGAACTACATGAAGAGTGTAATTAAGGATTTGTTTACTGTACATACCCACTGTGTGCTATCAAATCCAATTCGGCTTCCTTTGGATTTAGATACACCAGCTCCATTCTAGGAAGATAACAAAAGAACACCTTCGTAAATTCAAAACCCAGCATGCAACAATGCGTGTTAGGTAGGCATGACATTCAAATGGTGCAAGTGCCTGATCACCGTTAAACTTTAGCCAAATATCTATTTTCACATAGTCATGAGCTAAAAATTCTATTTATATACAAACGGAAATGAAAAACAATACAAATTGCAGTAAATTATATATGGCCAACATCTCTAACCTATTATTTTCCTTCAATAAGTAGAAAATTCTTTATTATATCTTTGGAATTAGGGTCCTTTCATTTAGCTTTATATTCCTAACACCATTTCATTTCCATATACCAAGCTACTGTTTGTAGATCTTTGCAAAGTACCAGGTACTGCATTTGACATTTCATATACGATTTATGTATTCCCATCTAGCCCTCACAACATGCCTGCCAAGCAGGCAGTACTGTGAGCTGTCAAATAATTGTTTGTATTTCTTTAAGCTTATAACAAAAACAAATGAAACTCAGTGCCACACGTTAATTCGGACTCACAATGACCCCAGAGGAAAGCTGGAGCAATTCCAGAGTTCCACGGATATAAAGCCTTATAGAAGTAGACGGCTCCCTCTTTCTCCAACTGAGAAAGTTGGTTCAAATCACAGACCTTCTGGTTCACAGTCCAATGCCTAACCCACTATGCTACCAATTTAAAGTAGGGGTATCCTGTTTAGCAAGTTTTTATATAACCATATCAGAAAATTGCAATAGATTTTAGTGTTATTTCAATAACATTAAACTGCAATTGTGACTGGTTTGCCATATCCACACCAAGATGAGAATCTCAGTAACAAAGTATCCTAGAAGGATCTGAAAAACGGATTTTTACATAAAGAGGAAGAATGTCAGGAAAGCAGACAACGAAAGTCCAGTGATAAGAAAAAAAAGAAAAAAGACACATTAATTACCTTTGTAGATAAATAGTGCTTGTAGTAGTACAACTGAAACAGCAAAAATGCAGAACTTGTTAAAGTTAAAAGGGCCAAAATCACGTTCTTATTGATTCTACTCATTAGTCTGCAGATTGGCTGTCTTTTGAAATTAACTCCGCCGTTTTCATCTTTTTTGAATAGGAAAGTAATCTTGCTTTCTGTGAATAAAACGGTATTTCTAATGAGATAAAAACATAACACCAGTAAAAGCCAACAAAGAGAAAAAATTATCTAAAGTTCTACAGAATACATGACAGTCGTTTCATAACTCAGTGAAATAATCAGATGAGAACAAAGTTTACAATGGCATTCCTAACAACTGCAAACACAGGAAGACACACTCGGGTGTTCATACAGACAGAGGTTATGGGCTGTACGCTCAGTTTCTGGTCCTGCAGGTTTGGGGTAAGCCAGTTGCCATCAAGTCGATTCAGGGTTTTAGGGGCCCCATGCGTGCAGGACAGAACTATAATCCACAGCTTTTCAAGGCCATGGCCGTTCCTAAGTTAGCCTTTTGGCTAGCAGTGGCACACTTAGCCACCCAAGGACGTGTATGTCTAAGATCAAATCCCTGAATTTCATTTCTGAAAAGTTCTCAAGTGATGTTTAGCTGCAAATCTAGAGCTCCCGCTTGACAACCATTCCATTGAGAAATTGACAAAATTTGTGGTCAGGGAACAGGATCTGTATAACAGTCTTTGATGTTGAAATTTCTTTTGTGATCTAGCATGTAACTAGCTTTTATGAACATTCCATGTATGGCTTTCGTTTTTGCAGTAGTAAAGAAAACCGAATAAACAATTTTGTTCATCATTGGTCTCATCTATGATTTTTTCTTTAGAACAAGAAATTTCATTTCTACTTTCTCTTGATTGCCTGATTTTAATTAAATGTATGATTATATGTAGTGGTTCAGGTATTATCCATATTTCTTTAAATTTACTAATACCTCCATTACCTGATTCTTTTTTTATGTTTTTTTTACATTTTAATCATTTTATTAGGGGCTCATACAACTCTTATCACAATCCATACATACATCAAT